TGTACACAATTTTACCAAAAAAGGGAATTGAGTGTTGTAAACAAAATTAACAATTTAATTTACGTATGATAGATATGCATAAAAATTGAGGATGTTTTATTTATTTATTTTTTTGCAAATATCTGTCTTCAAAGCAAAAATCGAAAAACTTATTTTGGGAATAGTCGAATTTAAGTTCTATGGTCTTCCGTTGTCAGAGAATAGGTCTCCAAAATAATATAACAGATTTAGGAAATAATCAATTGAAAGAAATGACAATAAAAAAAAAAAAACCGTGTATTGGCGTTTTGGAAGTTTGTATAGCAAAATACCTACATAAAGGGGACAACGTCCTCCCTCCTCCAAAAACGGTTTAACTTTCGTATTAAGAGATCTTAGAATCCTTGCATTCAGATATTGTGTCGAATGAGTCACCAAAGAAGTATTTTTGTTCTTTTTTCACAAATATTGGTGGGGCGTTATAAAATTGCTGATTAATTTCATACTTCCTGAAACATATTTCGATTAAAGTAACATGTTATTTCTATGAAACTCAAATGATAAGACCTTATCAAATGATATTTAATTATCCTACATAAAATCTTCATTACACCCTACATCACATAGTGGTAAGGGTATTATGTATTTGTGCATACTTTTGGGGATCTTCATAGAATCACCTCTGAATCAACAGTCCTCCATGTATTGTTGTGAACAAAATGCAGGTTGCATTTAATATCCGATTGAGATAAAATTTTTCAAACAATATTTATTTAGCCAAAGGACAAACTCTATTAAGATTGATGGTAATCGGATCAGATTTAGATATAGCTCCCATATATCCTCAACCTATTTCGGGTTAATTGTGCATCAAATGGCCAATATAAGTCCAAATGATCTGTATTGCGGTACATCCCACCGAATTCAGTCTAGCAGCTATTGAATCAAATTTGGAGAAAATCGGTTCAGATATAGATATACCTGCCATATATATGTTTCATCCGATTTGGGGTTTTAAGTATATCCAAATGGCTAATATCAGCCCAAATGGACTGAATTTTCGCAATAACGACCGAATTCATTCTAAAAAACCAGTACTTCAAATTTGGTGTAAATCGGATCAGATACCCGATTTGGGGGTTAAAGTCCCTCACAAGTGTATTATGCATTCCACAACATGATATTTGGTACCAGATATCGGATACAGCTCGGAAATAAGTGTAGCAAATCGGTTCAGATTTGGATATAGCTCCCATATAAATTCACAATCGATTTCGGGTTAATTGTGCACCAAATGGCCAATATCAATCCAAATGACATGAATTTTGGCATATCCAACCAAATTCAGTCTAGAAGAGTGTGCATCGAATTCGGATCAAATCGGTTCAGATACAGCTATATCTGCCATATATATGATTCATCCGATTTGGTCTTTTAGTCCCACAAATTCGTAATATGCATTAGACAACAATGATATTTGACACCAGATATCTTATAAAGCTGGGAAATACCTTTGCCAAATTCTACCGAGAACAGATAAGATTTGGATATTCCCATATATATCCTTAATCCGATTTCAGGTTTATTGTGCAAATAATGGCAAATATCAGCCCAGATTGAGTGAATTTCGGAACGTACGTTTCCATTTTGTGCAACTCGGCCCTGATATATATTTTTTTAATATAATCCTTCTCCAAGTGATATCATGTACTCTATAACAAACTATAACTGCTCTGAAGCCAAATGTAGATATGTGGTTTTATTTTATGAAGTTCCAAAATGGGGGTATAAGACACCACAGTTTAAAGTCATATTACTATTGGCAGAATTGAAATATATGGCTAATATAAAAAAGGAATTAGGTAAATATATATATATATATATATATATATATATATATATATATATATATATATATATATATATATATATATATATATATATATATATATATATATATATATATATATATATATATATATATATATATATATATATATATATATATATATATATATATATATATATATATATATATATATATATATATATCTATATATATATATATATAAGCCAGAGATGTTCTCTAAATAGTTCCCAAGGAAAAGTGCCTGGCCCAATGTAGGTTTTTTCCTTTTGATGATTTCCATAGCACCTATCCTTCTGTCGTTCCGTCTGTCAATGTATTTTATAAACAAAGTACAGGTCGCATTTATTTATTGGTCCTGAGAGGAACTTGATTGAAATTGGCGGTAATCGATCCAAATGTGGATATAGCTTCCATATATATTTTCGTCCGATTTCAATTTTATTATGCGCCAAGTGTGTAAAATTATTCCAAATAGAATGTATTTCGCCACATCCGACGGTATATAGCCTAGAAATTGGAACTTCAGATTTCGATATTGCTCCCAGACATATCCGATTTCACGTTTATTGTTCGCCAAATGGTTAATGGTTGTTTAGCCCAAATTTAGTGGATTTTAGCACATACGTCCTGAATCTGCCTAAAAGCAAGTGTATCAAATTTAGTGAAAATCGGTTCAGATATAACTATAGCTCCCATACATATATCTTTGTTGGATTTCAAATGAGACTGCCATATTTAGACTCGAATCAAGTGTGTTGAATCTGTTGAGAATAGGTTTAAGCATAGTTATAGTTCCTATATGTCGGATTCATCCGATTTTATATTTAAGTCACCCAAATCCGTATTATATACTCCATAACAAGGATTTTCGGTACAATATATTAGGTACTTCCCAAAGTTTTGTCGAGTTTGGTTTAGATTTGGATATATCTTCCATACATAATTCCCTCTAATTTGTTGTACATAATGCATCCAGGACGCTACATTTAACCAATATTATAGTTTTTATCGGATAGCTTTAACGTTCTTCAAATTTAAACCGCTCTAAAGCTTTAATACGCAATTAATACAAAAATTAGCAATATGAACGTTTATTTGATATAGGTGACCCTACTAAACATTCATAGTGGTGTTGGGTATCATAAAGTCGGCACCGCCCAACATGTCCTTCCCTACTGGATTTAATATCTAACTTCTCAGAAACCCTGCAGACATCTACGCCAAATTAAATTAGGTTATCTGTAGAATTGTAACCTTAATCTTGATTTCAACAGAGGGGCGGACATTGTCAAATCTACCTAGAATTTTAAGTTTATCAAGATATATACTTTATGGAGTATGTATTTGCTTAAAATTGTCTATTCTACTGGGATGTTAAAAATGTACTCAATTCCCAAATTATTATTCCTCAAACTGAATAAAATAAACTTTAACCTTTCTCGCCTGAAATAAAATAAAAATGTTGCGCATTATTTCAAATAAATATTTTTTTTTGCTTTTCCTTTGTATTTTAAATATTATTTTACATTGTAATGAGATGTACTAACAGTTTGTTTTTTTTTTTTTCTTTTTCTTTTTTGTTTTCTTAATTACTTCTTTCTTTCATATTCTTCTGTTGTAATACGCTACAATGCCACAATGCTGTTGCTGCTGACTGCCTGCCTGACGCTACAACTCTTTCTCTTTGCTCTGCCGAAATGCAATTGATTAAAATGTCTTGCAACTACTTGGCCGGCATTTTTGAACATTGATGTTGTTATTGCTTTTACATATTTTCGCTCGCTCTCACGACAACCTGTGGTATATTTTATGGAAAATGGCAAAATATGTATTGGCAAAAATGTATGAATAATCAACACTGCAAATGCCTCCGCCGCCGACGTCACTCTTGGATTCTTGCCTTGCCTCACCTTACCTGTCGTGGCAATCTTGTGCAATTATGCATATATTGTTCGCCGCCCGTTGCCTCAACGCGCCGCATAATGCCGCATTTTTTTATTCAAATGTCCACACACACACATTACATTCATCAGGTTTCCGATACAGTTGTTGAGCCGTACAACGCCACATTGTCGATTCATCAACTTGTCGAAAATACCGATGAAACGTTCTGCATTGATAACGAGGCTTTGTATGACATCTGTTTCCGTACGCTGAAACTAGGATCGCCCACCTATGGAGATCTCAATCATTTGGTATCTGTAAGTTGAACTAATGGATTTTTTCTTTTCTCTCCTTTTTTTCTCTTTTTTCACACACACACACGAATTCGAAATCGCGTGAAATGCACGGTCCCAATGAAATTGCCAAACAATACAACCCACAAACCCCCCCTGAAAACGTCATAACTGGAACGTCATGCCGCAACAATACCATCTGCCATGCCTCTGAACTTATGATAATGATACACGTCTTGTTTGGTAAATGATGATCAATGGAAAACAATGGTAACAACAACAAAAACATTTTCTTAATGCTGCCGATATGGCTACTATTCGCGCTGCTGCTGCTCCCGATGATGACGACGACGAAAATACCAATGTTGCCCCACCAACATTAACATCTCTGGGTTGGGTGGGTGTCTGTGTGTGGGCTGCTTAACATTCCACCAATTCAATGCCAACTTGCCATCATCAATGGTAACCACAACAACAACGATGATGATACATGCATGTGTTGCATGTGTACATGCGTGTGTGTGTTTCTGTGTTGCAATGATGTATTGGGTAAACATCATTACGACTATCAATTGGGTTTGTGTGTATGTATGTGTTCTGGTTTGCATTTGGCGAATGTGTGAATTCAACACAAACAAATAACGGCTATTCTCTCTCGCTCTCACATCCACTGCCATTTTTTGTGGAAATGATACTCAACACGAACGATGGCGATGACGATAATGATGATGATTCTTGGAAATGCTACATGAAATGAAATTAAACGAATGCTGATTGCATTCAAACGTACACACCACCTTGTTACGATTCTGATTATTTGGGCATTGCAACAACCAACAACAACAACAACCATGTTCTTCACCTGCCATATTCCATCTCTACCAATGTCATTAATATATCACGAATCCTGCCATGCCTCCACCTTTACATATCCGCTTCCACCATTACTCGTTACATTTTTCACCTGGTGGCAGGTGTCAGAAGTTGTTGTCGAGCCATACAATGCCACATTGTCGGCCCATCAACTGTGCGAAAATACCGACCTAACATTTTGCATCGATAATGAGGCCCTCTATGAGATATGTTACCAGCGTTTACGTTTCGTTTCACCCACCTATGAAGATCTAAATCATTTGGTGTCCGTAAGTAATCAAATGTAGCTATCCGCACAACCACACACATACACGTATAAGTGTAGCCGCTTGAAAACGCGAAAATTGTTAGTTGCATTCAACGAATGGACGAACAAGTCGACAACCAAACGAATGAATGAATTGTGATTGCTGTTCTCACAGAACCCCTTCAGCAAAATGTCAACTTAAAATTGCAGCATTAATAACAACAACAACAACAACAACAACAATTGTAGCAATGAAAGGTCCTACAACAACAAGTACTTCAACATGGCTTTCTAATTACATGCAGCCACTCTACTGGCCATAGTTTTGGAAATGTCAGCACACATTTGCCTTTAGGCTATATATGGCGCAAATTTCCATACATTACCAATAACAGGGTGTGTCAAGAAAATTGGGAATTCCGCAAAGGGGAGTTCTTATACAAAATCTTTTGTAGACCTATAACGCAGTGCAATAAATTTAGGGTTGTAGCCTGTCGTTGGATAACTTCAAGAGGAGGCCAATAGAGAAAAATTCCAAAATCGATTTTAAGCTCCTTTTAGTATCATTTACCTATTTAAGAAGAAGCTTTGAAAAGTAATAGATACCTTTCGATTACACCTAGAGTCGTTAGTTTGAAAAAGTCAAGCATTGTCCATATTAGAGTTGTACCAACCTAGTTCGATCCTAGTTCTTATCTGGTGCCAGAGACTCTCGTTTTTTGTACGAAAAATGTGAGAAATGGTGATATGGAATTTATGGAATCACTCATACGTTTTAACAGCAATAGATACCCTTTGATTACACCAAGAGTCGTTAGTTTGAGAAAGTGCAGCATTGTTGGCCCACGTTTTGATATAGCTCGCACATTATTCCATATCAGGGCTGTGCCAACCTAGTTCTATCGAACGAGCTAGTTATCTGGTGCCTGGGACGCTTGCTTTTTTTTCTTTTTTGTATGAAAATTCAGCGAAAGGGTGATATGGAATACGTTTAGCAACTAGTGCTCTGAACTATAAACTGCACCTTTTTCAGTTGTAATTCGAATTTGAGAATTATATTTGTAATTAGAATCATTCGAATTTTTGAACATTTTGACCGTTGGTTGAGGAGGCACCAGATGGACTGGACCGATATTATCCATTGTCGCACCATTTCGCATCCATTTTCGCAAATATTAGGATTATCGGATTATCCTTTGTCTTTCTGTGCAATATTTTTTAACAACTTCGAACATTTGAGGGGGACTTACCAGAAGGTGTAGACCGATATTGCCCATGTTCGAAATCTTTCTAAGTTTGACAATAATATTACGATGTACCAAGTTTGGATCAAATCGGATTCTCCCTTCGAGAATTAACGTGAGCACCAGCCAGATAGACAGACGGAAGGACGGACATCGCTAGATCGACTTCAAATGTCTTGAAACGGATTTGGTCCAAAGAGACCTAGGGTCTAAGCACGTTTTGGCAGTATCAAATGATATATACCCTCTCTAGCCATATGGCTAAGGGTATAAAAAGAGTTAACTGATTGACTGCTTGACTACACCTGTTATATCAACGCCCAGACGAAATGGCTGATGCTAGCGTCATGAAAATTTGGATGAGGGTCAACCTCGGGTGGTGATGAGAGATATGACTGTGTTTTTTTTGGAAATTCTTACTTTAAAGGTATGAAAATAAAAAATAAAAAAACAAGTAAAAAAGCTGTAAGTTCGGCCGGGCCGAACTTTGAATACCCTCCACCATTTGGAACGAATTTGGCCATTTTCCAAAAAAACCAGTAGAAAGTCTTCGGCGGGGCCGAAGCATTTGTATCTTAAAAATTCGGACATGTATTGCCCATTTGGTGCACAATTAACTTGAAATCGGATAAAAATATATATGGGAGGTATATCCAAATCGGAACCGATCTCGATAAAATTAGGCAAAGATATTTCTTAGCTGTATTTGATATATTTCTCTGAATATCGTTGTTACGGAGTGCATATTACGGCTGTGGGTAACAAATATGACAAATCGGATGAACAGTATATATGGGAGCTATAGCTATATCTGAACCGATCTTCCTCAAAATTGGCATACTAGCTTCTAGACTCAATTCGGTCGTAAGTGCCAAATTTCATCCCATTTGGTCAAATATTAGACGTTTGGTGCACAATCATAGGTAAATCGGACGAAGTTATATATGGGAGCTATATCCAAATCTGAACCGATCTCGATAAAATTTAGCAAATGTATTTCTGAGCTGTATTTGATACCCCAAATATTGTTGTTACAGAGTGCATATTACGGCTGCGGGGGGACAAAAATAACAAATCGGATGAACAATATATATGGGAGCTATAGCTATATCTGAACCGATTTCGATCAAATTTGGCACACTTATTTTCAGGTCCAATCTGATATTACACCTTTAGGGCACAATAAAAGGCAAATCGGACAAAGATATATATGGGAGCTATATCTAAATTTTGACCGATTATCTCCAATTTCAATAGGGTTCGTCCTTGGGCCAAACAAATGATTTGTGCAAAATCTCGTTTCCTTTTACCTGTAACAAATAAATGCACAAAGACATAATACCCTGACCACCTTGTGGTGTAGGGTATAAAAACAAATAAAAAAACTGTAAGTTCGGCCGGGCCGAACTTTGAATACCCTCTACAATTTGGAACGAATTTGGCAATTTTCCAAAAAAAAAATGAAATCTTTTAACAATTCTGTTAAAATCTTAATAACACCAAATGTAGCCGTCATATTAAGGTCTAAACGACGACGTGGACCTGCATAGGCAACTTTTGTCATAAGCCATTACAATATCCAAATGCGAAACTTGAAAAAAAACGGTGAATAATGTAGCTAAAATCATCAATATAAGGAGGTACTATTATATGGGTGTTATACCAAAATGTGTACCTAATTTGATATAGAGTGTATAAATACGGAAAATGATTTTTTTAGAATAGCTGTTAGTATGAAATGTTTAGATAGAGTACGGAAGGTACTGATTTGTAATGAATTTGGTATAGAGTGTAGAAAAATATCTACAATTGTGAATATCGGTATAGTGATCACTCTGAGTGTGTAGTGTTTAGATAAGGAGATGAATTTGGAAATGTATACAATATAGTGTCCGACATCATAAAATGGTACTAAATAAGATATAAGTAGAAACAATCGAATATTGTTGCAGGAATCACTGTGTAGTGGTTATTGAAGTTCGTTTTATGTACTCAATGGTAGCCAAAACTGTGTTTTCGTACCCTCAGCCAGAGTATATATCATTTGATGTGGCCAAAACGTGCCTTATCGAATAAAGAATTTAGACCCAAGGTCTCTTTGGACTTTTTGTCCGTCTGTCTGTCTAAAGGCAAACAATAATTTTCCTGGCTTGGATGTTTGGCTAAGCTCCATTAGGAGAACAAATTTCCCCCAATTTTATGTAAAATCTCCCACTAATCACTTCCTCGAATAAAATAACAAATTGCAATTTAATTATCGCCCAATTCGATCGCCAGCTAGCTCATCAATGCAATCACTTTACAATTTTTTTGATTGAATTTTTGTCAAAGAATTACACACACACGACACCAACAACAAGAACAACAACAGAGGAGTGCATGCGTGCGCCTCTTCAAACGAATGGACAAATCTATTGCGGTATGGTCTTTTAACCAGAACAAATGAACACAATTTTCAGTTGTCAATTGCAAATAAAATGAAATGAAATGTATTAAGGTGTTTACTCATGTATGCTGGTGTGTCTGTGTGTATGTGTATTGGTATTGGTGTTTATTAGAAGTGTTAACTGGAATTGACATTTTAATCGAGTTTCATAATTAAAAGTCGGTATTTTCAATTTGTAACACTGATGAAGTCCAGATGATTATTGCCGACAAATGTAATTATTTTCCAGTTAGGAAGACATCGGACTTAACCAGAAATTTTCACAAAAACTTAACACAAACATATGTATGTTTTGGAAAGTTCCACCAAAGTCGCAATTATAATTTTCAAATACAATCGAAGTTTTGCGGGTGTTAAAATAGTAACATTTCAAAAGAAATTATATTGTCATCGCTATTAAGTTTGTCAAAGAAAATGTTATTAATAAGTTATTAGGGCGTGGCATGGAAGATGTTGCTTGAGACTGTTATGTTACTTTTAATAACTCTCGTTCTTTATTCATCTTCAAAATTGTCCATAAATAACTAGAAACTTATTGTTTTCAAAACGCAAGTAAGTAAAGGCTAAAGCCGAGCGTGCCGACAGTGGGATACAACAATATTGTAATTTTCAGTAACATTTATGTAGATCCGAAATTCTTTGCACTGAAATGAGCGAAATTTTGAGTTCACACAAGAAATGGTATATTTCACCCGCTTAATTTGCTCCGATGACCATCCAATGTGGAAGGCTTCTACCCTGTCCTGAACCCTAATCTCACGCAAAATTACTCCACGATTGGCCGATAATTGTAAACTAAAGAGTAACTGCAAATTCTGATAAACATCAAAAGTTGAAGGCTTCTGTCCTATCCTAAACTCTAACATCACGCAAAATAACGCTTCGATTGGTTGATAATTATGAATTATAGGTCGACTGCCAATGAAGAAAGAAATCAGTTTTTTTCCAATTTCACCCCCATAATATTTTGCGATCATCTCCCCCAAGGTTTTATTCTCCGTACAATTCGTGAGAATCATACCACAATTGCGACCTTTTGCGTGATTACACATGAACATGAACAGACAGACTAACGGACACAAATATCTAGGTCGACTCAGCTCGGCAAGATAGGCGAGGGGGTGTTTTGGCCCAATCAAATATAACGAGTAAAAAAGCTGTAAATTCGGCCGGGCCGAACTTTGAATTCCCTCCATCATTTGGAACAAATTTGGCAATTGTCAAAAAAAAAAATTCGTTAAAATCTTAAAAATACCAAATGTAGCCATCATATTAGGGTCAAAAAGGCGACGTGGACCTGCATAGGCAACTTTTGTCATAAGCCATTAAAATATTCAAATGCGAAACTAGAAAAAAATCGGTGAATAATTTAGTTAAAATCGTCAAAATAGGAAGGTACTATTATATGGGGGCTATACCAACATGTGGACCTTCACAGACAATTTTCTGCCTTAGGCTGTAGTATCCGTTTCGAACTTCAAATAACAAATTTGAAACAATTCCGGTGAATAATGCCGCTTAAATCAACAAAGTACCTAATATCGGGAGGTACTGTTATATGGGAACTATACGAAAACGTGGATCTGCACAGACAATTTTCTGTCTTAGGCTGTAGTATCCGTTTCGAACTTCAAATAACAAATTTAAAACAATTCCGGTGAATAATGTCGCTAAAACCATCAAAATATCGAATATCCTGAGGTGCCGTTATATGGGAGCTATACCAAAACGTGGACCTACAAGGCCCAATACCAAAAGTCGTGCAGACATACATTTGAGTAAAATTTTATCAATCCACTTCATTTCGTTAGGAAGGTTGTGAATTCCAGAACGTACGTTTCCAATTTGTGCACCTCAGCTCCCATATATTTTTTTTACCCTACAACACTATGTGTTGGGGGTATTTTAAGTTTGATTGGGCCAAAAATTATGTAACACCTCGAAATATTGGTTTCCCACATAGGAAAGTATATATGGGTCTTCCTAGCTCGCCGCGCTGAGTCGATCTAGCTATGTATGTCCGTCTGTCCATGTTAATTTGTAATCAAGCTACAGGTCGCAATTATGAACCGATTCTCACGAAATTGAAAATGGAGGTGGGGTTAGGGTCAGAATAGAACCCTATTGTTTTTGAAGATGATCGCACGATATTTAGGGGTTGAAATGGACCAAAAACAGAAAATTTTCCTGATTTTGCAATTGCTCTATAGGTCACAATTATGAACCAATCGACGCGAAAATTTACATGGAGTTAGAGTTTGGGACTGGGCAGAAACCTACCAATTTGAGCGACCATCGGACAATAATTAGCGGGTAAAATAGACCCTAACTTTTATGTTAGAAAATAGGAAAATTTCCATTAAACCGCGAATATTTTTAATCCCAGCCAAATCACAAATACATTAAGAGATCACTTCTGACAATTACAGTCATTCTAATAGCCAATAAATCGGATATAAAGCCAAATAGGTACAATACATATGTAAAAGAATGCATATGATATGCATATGAGCTCTACTAAATATGCGAAGTGGAATAGGGTCTCATATAGTCGGTACTGCCCTATTTTGACGTTTCCTTACTGGTTATAAATACTTTCCTTAAATCAGACATATCATGATTTCAAAAGACGGACATGTGAATTTTCTTAAATTCACTTTGAATTTAATTCGAATTTTTGCCAATTCTTCGTATTCAACGTGACTAAAAGCAACCTAGGAAAAAATTGCCCACATAGTTGAACCCACTAGTTTTGAAGATTTTTAAGTTATTTGTCAATCGGATTATTCTGAATTTGTGTTCTCATGAACTCATGAAATGAAAAATGTTTGTAAATTCAGAGTACTGTTGTTATTGTAGGATTATTTTCAAATGTTTCAGTCTGGTGTTACCATATTTGTGGATTCAATGGAGCTGAGCCGCGACAATAAAATAATATTTAATAAAAATCAATAAAACATTTTTCACCGATAAGCGAGAGACCGCAAATTCAATGGAGCGTGGATTTCAGGGTATTTAATTAATAATTTTACAGAATTCATTCGACAAGAAAAACAACAACAATAGCAAATATACATCCATAAATAATTGTCAAACATCTCACGTTCTTTTATTTTTCTTTTCTTTTTTTTCTTCTCGCCCGCATTTCGCTTTTCCACGTAACAGCTAACAATGTCTGGTGTTACCACCTGCTTACGTTTCCCCGGTCAATTAAATGCTGATCTGCGTAAACTGGCCGTGAACATGGTACCATTCCCACGTTTGCACTTCTTTATGCCTGGTTTTGCTCCCCTCACAGCCAAGGGCTGCCAGCAGTATCGTGCCCTGACTGTTAGCGAACTTACCGCCCAAATGTTCGATGCCAAGAATATGATGACCGCTTGTGATCCCCGGCATGGACGTTATTTGACGGTGGCTTGCATCTTCCGTGGTAAGTAATTTGTGGGGATAAGTCTTCATTTTGAAAGTGTGTATGTATGCGTGTGTTTGACAATGTTGAAAATTTCCCAAACGGAAGAATTTTATCATTTTTGTTTTCCCTGCACTTGGATATCCTTTCATTTTGAGTTTCACACACCAATGCAGGTGTTTGTATACACCGGAGTGTGTAAATACAAATAATTATGTAAATTGTTGTAATTGTGTATATGTGTGTGTGCAACATTTCTTAGTACGACGACGACGACGACGACTACAGTTCTTGTAATTAATCCTTTTTGATTAATGACATGTCCTGATGTTCGCCTCTGCTGATTAAATATGTCTTGTGTTCCTTTGACGCATACACGGATTATTCCTTGCCTTTGGTTTTTCTCTACGCCTTCTTCATCTTCGTCTTCGCCGCCTTTTCGGCTTCTTTTTGGAAAATTCTCAGTTAAACCAAGATTAAGGACAAATTATTAAAGTGATTTGTAATAATGTATTTGTAAATATTGTATAAGTTACGTTAAGGCCTTATTAATTCCGGTGTAATTAATGTTACGAACAACAAAAGGTAGACATGCTCAGTGCCAGACGCCATGGAGAATCAAAAGCTGAAAAATTACGGGTAAAATGAGATTTTATTTTCATAAAAAGAAAAAGAAAGAATATTAAAATGAATTATTTTATCAGACAACTATAATTATGTTGAGATACGACCAGAGTTGAATCCGGCTCGAGTCTGAAAAAAAAAACGATTTATTCAACGAAAAACTCTCAGTTTTATTTGTTCCCTCATCGATTTGAAGTTATATCGAGTTACTTATTCGAACTGAACCCTTAAGTCATATCAACCTGTAAATATACTGAACATATTAATTTTAATATAACGAAAAATTGGAGGATATCGTTTAAATTTCAAATCCCGGGCCTACAATCAAGATATTTTGATAGGATGTGATATATTAAGATTTTTTGTGATCATTAAGATTTGATTATTTTTTTGCACCAAAATGTCTACAAAAAGTTTAGTTTTCTAGTCTACCGAAACCGATCATATTAGTAAAACCCTTCAACGCCTTTCTATAATTAAAATTGGCCACTACCACATCTAAATCCTAGAAACCAACAGTAATCTCAATATAAAATTTCAGGAATCAATCTCTATTCTTTCACTCAACGGCAAATTTAGTACCATTTGGTACTTTTCGAACAATCATAGTATACCTAAGTCTGTTTTTACACGGTCTTTTTGTACACGGTTTTGATATAACACGGTTTGAAAATTGAATATTTTTAATTTTTTACACGATTTTATTCCATTTAGCACGATTTTAAATTTTATGTACGTCAAATTTAATTTTTGCGAAGTATGTTCATATCACAAAAAAGTATTTATGAAAGAAAAAAAGTCTGAAACCATCGATAGTATCGATAGTTATTCTATTTTATTTTATTTTTTACCTTAAAAATTGAATAACCTATTCTTTTCGTTCACAACATAGTTTTTTAGTTCCTGAACTTGCCATACATTTACTTTTTAGATTAGAGTGCATATCTTTTTATCATTATTTACTATGCTTGTGAAAATAAGCATTATATATTTGATTTAATAAAATAAACATGAATTCTTGTTCTTAAAAATTCTTGTTTTTCACTAATTTTAATAGGTTTTAGAGATTAGGAACAAATCACCCATTTTGGTATAAGATCAATGTCATTTTTTACACGGTTTTTTTTACACGGCTTCTTCTGGAACCAATCTACCGTGTAAAAACAGACTTAGGTGTATTCATTCCCAAATCATAGTACACATTCCCAGCGACATTCATACCAAATTTCAGGATTTCTGCTCTATTCCTTAACATAGTTCTTCATATAGTCCTTTTTCAAACAGCTAAAGTGTGCATTTTCAAAACAATCTCCATATCTCAATCTAAGACACAAACAGTGGCCTTAATATCAAATAGTTCAACTCCTTTATTTCCCCCATTACCAAATTTAGTACCATTTAGCACTTTTATAGCACACATATCCAAAATCAGCTCCTTCTCTCAACCACAGACAACCACAGTGACATCCATATCAAATTTCAAGATTCCAACTCTATCTCTTAACCCATTACCAAACTTGGTACCCATATCCAAAACAATCTACAATCCTAGGCACTAACCTAAAATTAGTACAATTTAGTACATATCAAGCAATTATAGCACGAATCTGCAAAACTACATCCATATCTCAACACCAGATACCAAAATGCCCAATGCCCAATTTAGTAACAAAACAACGCCCATATCTATATCAAATTTCAGGATTTCTGCTTATTCCTTCAAACAGTACCAAATTTAGTACTATTGAGTAATTTTCGTACACACTTCCAAAACCACCTCCATATCTCAATTCCAGAAATCAACAAAGATCTCAATATCAAATCAACAAAAACCATACCTTAGCACAATACCCATTTTAGCACCATTTAGTACTTTTCGAACAATTATTATACACATTTCCGAAACCACCACCAAATGTCCAGGCTACATATGAACAGCGACCCTAATACCAAATTTTAGATTTTAAGCACTCTCTGTTCACCCAATACAAAGTGGTACCAAATATAGAACTATTTGGTACTTTTCCTTCACTTGTAGTAAATTTCCAAAACCACTTTATTATCACAAACCTACCGTCAACAAAGACCCAAAAACAACATTTTAAAATTCCAGCTTCATCTATTCACCCTAAACCAAACTGTTCCAAATTTAGTACCATTTATACAGTTCGCACATTTAGTACACATTTAAAAACCACCTTCATATATCAAACTTACTTTCCAACCTTGATTCTCATACCAAATTTCCAAATTTTTAGCTCTATCCGTTCACATAATACCAAATGGTACCATTTTTGAAGTTCAGTACCATTTTAGAACTTTTCAAAATCTTCGAATTTTCAAAAACCCTTTGCTGCATCTATCTTGCACATCAGTTGTGACTCTCATTCCAAATTACAGAGTTCTACCTCATTCCATTTGTTCTATACAACTTTTGGTAAATTTTAGTAATTTTCTTGCCTTTCTATTACAAATTAAAAAAAAAAACCTTTGGTACTCCATCAGTGATTCTCATTTCAAATGCTAGCTCATTCCCTTTGTGCAATACAAGGCATTTACTCTTAGTACCTTTTAGTTTTTTTCTTACCCTTTTAGCACGTATTTTCAAAAACCCTTTGGTACCTCATCAGTGAATTTCATTACAAATGTTAGTTTATTCCATTTGTCCAATAAAAAATACTCAATTTTCTGCACTTTTCGTACCCTTTTAAAATGAATTTCAAAAACCCAGGATTATCATACGCCTACGCAGCAAAACTCGTTAAAAAATTCAGGATGGCAGCTTCAGCCGTTTCGTCTGGGCGTTGATTCTCAGTCAGTACGAGAAGCAATGGACCAACATTTTTAATGTTCTCTTCATACCTAATTCTGATATACATAAATACAGCGTTTAAAATGAGATATACAGGGTGAGAAAAAAACTGCAACAAAGTCAAAGGCCTTCGGGGCGAATTAAGGCCTTCAAACGGCTAATGAAACCATCACACTCTGCCCGAATGTTGCTCTGCGGTATTTTGGCCCATTCCCGGCGATGCGCTTACTTGAGGTGATCGACACTTTGGTATTTTTTAGTGCCAACCTTGCTTTCCAAAATACTCCAGACACAATAGTCCAACGGATTGGTATCTGGAGATTTTGGTGACCATTGTGTGCTGGAAATGAAGCGTGGCGCGTGCAGAGTGCGATGGTGCTGAGTCCTGTTGGAATGTCCAAGGTCTGCGGCCAAAATGTTTACATGCCCAAGGCTTTATTGCACCCTCCAGAATATTTTCGCGATAATATTCGGCATTTATTCTGATGCCACGATCGATTAATGCGGGCAGAGAGCGACCATCGGCTGTTATGGTAGCCCACCATCACCATGGCCGGCGTTTGAGTTCTGGTGGCCAACCGGAGGTGCACATTTTCAGCTGACCTCTTTGGCAAGTAAACACGATCATTTTGTTTGTTTACAAACTGCTGGAAAACGAATGTTTTCTCGGTGATCGGAGATAACCTTTCGGCCACTTTCGGCCAAGCGAAGCAACTCTTTACCTCTTTTTTTCTGCTGCGGTGTAAGTTTTTGCACTTTTTGGAATTTCAATGGCTTACCCCGAGCTCATTTTTCAATATTTACCGAATGGAATATTGCGATATGTTCAGCTCACGAGCCATTTTTCAGTCACTGTGACGCAGGTTTCGATCAATACGCTTCTTTACTTTTCGAACCAAACAAAAAACACAAAATATTTATTCACATTTAAATGCTGGAGTATTCTAAAGATAGCCACTTGTGGTGTCCAGCCAAATATAAAGAAATAAAGAATAACTTTTTTCTGAAAAATTCTCACCAAATGCTTTTGTACGCTTGTAAACGGTATAATGAGCTGTCACTGGAATAAATTTAACAGCTGTCGTGCGAGTGGCTGAGAAATAACAGCAGTCTGAATTTGATTGTAGTTCTTTCATTTCACCCTGTATGTACTCCCTTCTCTCAATATGAGATTTCACTTTTTCACAAAATTTTGAAGATTTGCTAGTCATTTGGCCATTAAATTTTTGAATTCTTTTTGTAATGTCTCAAATACAAAAATCTTTAATTTCGATTAAATTTGATTTTTAATCAAAATTTCGCTACACCATCCACAATTCGCCCTCCCTGAGAGATGGACAACATTTCATTTATCTAAAAATAATAATTCGCTACATTAAACATGGTCATTTTTGGACATGTTTATGTTTCTTAAATTAGTAGTCTCAACAATATCTCTAATCATAAAAAAGCCTACACAAAATTAACGAAATTCTTTTCAAACTCATATAAAATTCAAACATTTTATAAATGATTGCCTACTTCAACATTTGTTATGAAAAATTCATTTAATTTTCTTTTCAACACAGACTGTTAATAACAACAA